GGTTTCTGCATCAAGTCCAGCTAATCCCAATGCAAGTATTTGTGAACCTTTTCCGTGTTGTTTGCGGTGTCTCTGCCCTCAATAGACGATTGGGTTTGAACCTTGACATATGGGATATCTTAGGTTGTTATACTCTTTCTCATAACAAAGACCACAGCACATATTACTTGCGTGTTCGCTCATTTGATTGCCATTTGGTTACCGGGTTACCTGATTCGGATAAACACAATGATGATTTCCTTCAAGTCGGTGGAAACTGGGAGTTCCCCGTCGGTACTGAGTTTCAGTCTGAACAGATGCCCCAGAAAGACAGCTACCCAGGTTCGGGTCTTCCCTTCTAATGCCTTTTGTATTCCTTACATTATTTTGGGTATTTCTCTAATGTGTCACTTCTTTTTTGCAGAGTCCTCTCGTTTCCAACGAAGGCCGAACCGAGAGAATGCTAAAGCCATAAAAGCTGCCCTGAGGTATAAAAAGAGATCTGCACCTGAGTTATTGGACTACCAGTCTACTTACCGCTCCGTTATTCCAAAGAAGGTGAGGCTCGCTGCTGCCCTTCTGGATTCCGATACCGAGACTGACACATCTCTCACTCCTTTCGTCACAAGTCGTCGCAGGAGTCAGGGTGCACTTTCCGAAAGAGCGCCTTCCCCTGTCTCCAGTTTTGTAGGGAGCGGGTCTGTGGTGAAGAGAAGGGTGTTGGTGGATTTAGAGGTCGAGGCCTTTGGAGCCTCCGATGCTTTGTAAGCCCCTCTGGAGAAGACCGAGGTGAAGAGCCTCATGGAGGTGAAGGTGGAGGTTGGAGCTTCTGGAACCCTTGCGACTGCTGCCGAGCCCTCAGCTTCAGTCGCTGGGCGAGCAAAAAAGAGAAGAAGAGAGGCTGGCAAGGCAATGGTGGGGGAAGCTTCTGAGGATCCTGCTGAGGATGATGCTTTTGAGAAATAGGAGCCGCCAATATCGCATGAAGGCAGGCCTATTTCCACTTCTGATTCAATTGTCGCTTCACAAGATTTTGCTTTTGATTTGACTAAGTTTTTGTTGATGCCGGTTGATATGGCCGACCACAATGGGCCCCGTGATATTCCTATCCTGAAGGGGACACTTCAGATGATGACTGTTGTAAGTGTTTCCTGTTTTACTTGTCTTTACTGTTGCGTTGTTGTCTACCTTTTTCTTAGTTCTTCGTTGTCCTTTGCAGTGTATCCAGAGAATGCATATGTCTATTACTCATGCTGAAGAGCTAGAAATGGCCGTGCTGGAGACAGCAATGAATGCTGAAAGACTAACGGTAAGCTTGGAGACAGAGAAAGAGGGACGCCGAACTGTGGAGAGGTAAGCATTTTGTTTAAACAAGATTGTCGCTTCAGCTGAAAAATTGAAGGAGGTTGCTATCGGGACACAGGCTCAACTTGAGGGGAAAGTAGCCGAACTGGAGGCTGTTATTGCTGTGATGGCTGCCGAGCGCTCTGCGCTAGAAGCTAAACACTGGCAACAGGGTTGGGACGAAGCTGGGGCTGCCTATAAGGAAGAGGTGCTAGTGCTGCGAGATAAGCTCTTTGTGAAGGGTTTGACAAGTGCCTTGGCTGCTGCGCTGGTTCCTGAAGGCTCTTTCCTGTTTCAGGATGTCCCCATTCGTTCGAGATCCTTGGGTTTGAAGACTGTTTCCACCCCTGCTGTTCTGCCGGCCGAAGTTTTCCCAGAAGCTGATTCCGCAAACAAGACCCAGGATAAGAATGTTGCCGCTGAAACGGTGGATGTTGAAGGGATTGAAGCCCCAGAGACTGAACCCACGTGAGATGTGGTTAAGGAGGCTTCTACTTCTCAAGAAGTTGGAGCTTCCTCTACTTTTCCTCCCGCAGATGGCCTGGACAAAATTGTTGATGCTGCTCTTGAGTTACCCGCTGTTGATGAAAATTGATGTTGAAAAAATTTGAACTTTTTTTGCTTTGATGTACTGTGGCTCGGTCTCCATGATGAGTTTTCTTTCTGCATTTGCCAAGACAATTTTTCTTTTCTTTTCTTTGCTGCTTGTTATGAGGCCATCTGTGCCTTTTGTTGGATGATAGAATTTTCTTTTTGAACTTGCAATCTGATGCTGTTTGGCTTCTATGTTTGAATGTTTCCTATACTGCCTGCCCCTGGCCGAGCACTGTTGGGACCACGGAGCCGAATAGATGCTCGGTCTAGTTTTGTATTGCCTTTAAATGGATGTTCTGTCTGATTCTGTACTGCTTGCCCCCAGCCAAACGTTGTTGGGGCCTCGGGGCCGAACTGATGCTCAGTGTAGAACTGTACTGTTTGCCCACGACTGAGCACTGTTGGGACCTCGGGGCCGAACTTGTGCTTGGTGTGGCTAACGGATATGTGGTATGGCGGTGCTGGAGTTCGTAAGTGGGTCTTACTTAGGTCCAGATTGGTTTTGAAAGAAAACAATTGTTTGTCCCCTACCTGGAGCTAAGTAAGACCGGCGCTGAAAATTATGCTCTGAGGTAGAACTGCTGAAGTCTGTTTCAACTTTGATAGCATAAGAGCGCCTAAACGGAGTAAAGGCATGAAAAGGTGTCTTACTCAGGTCCAGCTTGGTTTGAAAAAACAATTGTTTGCCCCCAGCTGGAGTTGAGTAAGACTACTGTTGGAGGCCTGCTCCTGGCTGAACTTGGCCAAGTTTGTTCCAACTTTGTTTGTTCGTGTCAGTACTGACATTTTGACGTGTTGATACTTAAGAAGCTCTGTGGATGCAAAGATGTTTACTTAAGATATGTCAGCGTGGTTTACACCAAGCAACTCCACTTGGCTAAATAGAGATGTTTACTTAAGATACATTAGTGCGGTTTCCACCAAGCAATTCCACTTGGCTAAATAGCGATGTTTACTTAAGATATATTAGTACGGTTTCCGCCAAGCAATTCCACTTGGCTAAAGTCCAATTTAGTTGCCAAACATAATTCCACCAAGCAATACCACTTAGCATGTTTGAGTGCTAACCAAATTAAATTCCGTTCAGTTGTTCTGAAACTAAGTCCGTTTGGGTTAAGGCCAAAGCTGATTCCGTTTGGGAAGTACCAAAGCTAATTCTGTTTGATAAACATCAAAGTTATTTCCGTTTGGTGAGAACCAAAGCTAATTTCGTTTGATAAACATCAAAGCTATTTCCGTTTGGTAATAACCAAAGCTAATTCCGTTGGGTAAGAACTAAAGCTATTTCCGTTTGATAAACATCAAAGTTATTTCTGTTTGGTAAGAACCAAAGCTAATTCCGTTTGATAAACATCAAAGCTAATTACAAGAATTTGATAAATTTGAGAAAAGTGCCTTTACAATTTGATAAAGAAAGTGGGACCATCTTATCGATAGTATTTCTTGAGATTTGCTACATTCCAGGGCCGAGATATAGCTCTGCCACTCAGATCCTCGAGGTAGTAGGCTCCATTTCCAACGACGATTATGACTCTGTAGGAACCTTTCCAGTTTGGCCCAAGTTTGCCCTCGCCAGGCACCCTTTTGTGATCCAAAACTTTCCTTAAGACCAGTTCTCCTGGTATAAATTGCCTTGGGAAAACCTTTTGGTTGTAACTCTTGATGAGCCACTACTGATAAGCTACAAGTCTGATCAGCGCTGCCTCTCTTCGGCCCTCTGCCATATCCAGTGCTTGTGCAATAGCTTCCTTATTACTGGTGTTCTCAAACAGTTCGGATCGAAGGGTTAGGAGGCCGACTTCGAGTGACATGACGGCCTCCATTCCATAAGTTAGGGAGTAAGGTGTTTCCCCCGTTGAGCGCTGTGCGGTGGTTCGGTATGCCCATAGCATATGGGGTAACTCTTCAACCCATTTCACTTTGGCATACACAAGCCGTTTCTTGACTCCGTTGATGATGGTCCTGTTTGACGCCTCTGCCTGTCCATTGTTTTGCGGGTACCCTAGACAAGAGTTCCTGTACACAATCCAGAGGTCGGCACAAAACTTTCTGAAGATCTTTCCATCAAACTAGGTTCCATTATCCGCAATCAGTACCCGCGGGATGCCGAAACGCACCACCACATTTCTCATAACAAACCGCTTTGTATCTGCTTCTTTGATATTTGCCAGTGCCTCAACTTCAACCCACTTAGTGAAATAGTCGGTTGCAGCAATGAAGAATCGTCTGTTTCCAGTGCCTTGCGCCAATGGTCCTACAATATCCAGACCCCATTGCGCAAAGGGCCATGGCCTGGTGAGTGGAGTGAGAGGTTTGGCTGGCTGATGGATGAGTGGAGCAAATCTCTGACATTTATCACACTTTTGTACGTATTGCTGTGCATCTTTTTGCATCCGTGGCCACCAGTACCCGTGAGAGAGGGCTCGGTGTGCCAGTAACCTTCCGCCAACGTGGCATCCACAAATCCCCTCGTGAATTTCGTAGAGAACATTCTCGATGAGATTTGGATGTACACATAGGAGGTAGGGGCCAAGATAGGAACGTCTGTAAAGCTTCCCAGATGGTGAGATCCAGAACTGAGCTGACTTGTGTCTGACCTTGTTGGCTTCCCTTTTGTCTTCGAGGAGTGTACTAGATTTCAGAAAAGCAAATATTGGATCCATCCAGCTTGGCTCTAAGTTGTTGCAGAGGACTGGAGATGCAATACTTGGTTCTGGCACAACCTCAACCCAAACTCTTCTGGTATCCTTTGTATCCACTGATGAGCTGAGGCATGCCAGAGCATCGGCGTGGCCGTTTTTGTCGCAACTGATTCGTTCTACTCGTATGGATTGAAATTTTCTGAGCAAGTCCTTGGCCTTGCCTGCGTACATAGCCATTCTTTCATCTCGTGTTTCATAGACCCCAGAAAAGCTGGTTGACCACTAGTTGTGAATCGCTAAAAACAAGAAGCTGTTCTGCACTGAAGTGTTCGGTGCTACGTAAGCCAGCCAATAACGCTTTGTACTCGGCCTCGTTGTTTGAAGCCTTCCAACTGAGTCTGAGAGCTTATTCCCAGATAAACCCTTTTGGTGAAATAAATACTACTCCTGCCCCTGAGCCTCGGTTATTGGACGATCCATCAACATGGAGCTACCAAATGTTTCCAATAAAGAGTTTCCAGGCTTCCGAAGCGCGGGGCTTTCCTTGTTCGGTGGTGCATGGCTCCTGTGCCGAACTTGGATCCTCGGTTCGGTACTCTGGGTTGGAACAAATTCTGCGACAAAATCCGCTAAGACTTGGGCCTTAATTGCTGTCCTGGGGTGAGGTACTGCTCGGAGAGACCAAGCTTTCTGAACAAATCGTAATACAGTATGTCTGTTGCACTGCCCTGATCTACTAGGACTCGTTTTACGTCAAATCGTTTCCCAATTCCCACAGTTATAATTAATGCATCAGTATGTGGGGTGCTGTATGCCTTCTAAATCTTTGCAAGTAAATGAAACTGTACACAAGGGGGATTTAGGTACTGTACGTACCTTTTTTGATGCAGGCTCCACTGACATGACCCGCTGAATTTGCGCAACCTTAGCAATCTCTTCCTTCAGTGCCTCCTCAGATTCCTGAATCGCTGTCCTGTGGATCACATTTATTATCAGCCGAGGTGGATGCTCAATGTTTGCTTCTGGTGGTGGGTTCCCTGGTTCGGTCATTTCTTTATCCTGATCAATGTAATCCCTTAGGTGTCTAGCTGCCACTAGGTCTTCCAAGTGTTGCTTCAGTGCCCTGCAGTTCTGAGTCATGTGCCCCTTGTCTTGGTGGTAAGTGCATCTGAGCTTCTGATTGCGCCGAGCTGGATCTCCTAACATTTTCGGCGGCCAAACAAAGAACGACTCTCTCTTGATCTTTTCTAGAATTCGATAGATTGGCTCTTTGAATATAGTCACAACGACTTCATGGGATTTGGACTTATCCACCTCATTTACTGCAATCCCTCGGTGTTCTCCTCGATCTGTTCTCTTCTTATGCTGAGTTGTTTGTTCTACTGACACTACCTCGATGGGGATCTGATCGTCTTCGAGACAAGCGTACTGCTCAATCCTGGCGCGCAAGTCTTTTAAAGCTGTGGGCGGCAGCTTGGTAAGTGATTGTCTCAGCTTACTTTCTGGGCGCAGACCATGTTTGAAGGACATAACGGCCATTTGCTCGCTGCACACATTTTCCTCCAGGTCATTGTATTCTTCCCAATACCTCCTAGCATAATTGTGCAGCGTTTTCTCCTGCTCTTTTCGGAGGCCGAACAGTGTATCCGGCTCCTTCGGGATCTTAGTGTTGTAGACGAACCTGGCTAGGGACTCTTCGGAGAGCTGCTTCCAGCCATGGATCGATTCAGCGGGGAGACGATCGAACCATCGAAGTCCGGTTTCTCCCAAGCTGGATGGGAAGACTTTACACATCAGTGCCTCATCTCGATTCCATAGGGACATCATCTGTCTATAGTGGCTAATATGTGTCAGCGGGTCCGACTTCCCATCATATGAAGTGAACTTTGGTGGGGTGAATTTCTTTGGAGGTCTCATGGTCTCGATCTCTGGGGAGAATGGCGAAGAGACGAGCCTGTCCAACGCTCGATGTTCTCTCTGGTGAACAGTACAGTCCAGATGATCCCGATGTTGTTCATTCTGCCTATTGCCAATCAACCAAGTACGAAGGTCCTGAGGAGGATATTCGGTCTATTGACTAACGGTCTTCTGCCTCTTGGCCCTTTTCCGGCGTGACCCACGGGTGTGACTGCTTGCTGCCTCACTCTGTACCGGGATATGCTGGCTTTGTTACCCAGACCCATTCCTGGGGAACTTCTTCACTGGTGGCTCTCTGGATGAGCTCCTTCGTCGCAAACGAGAGGGCTCCGTTTCCGTCTTCTTTTCTGTTGGATCGCCCAGCACCCTCTTAAGTTGGCCTTTTCAACTCCTGTATCGCCATCTCCATGGAGTCTATGATGCGATCTCTATAATCCTTTTCCAGAAGAAAGTGATGAGAGGAGCCTCCAGCAAAGGGTAATCGGTGCTCGACGGATTCAGGGGTTCGATTATTGTTTCCAGTTTGTTCCTCCGAGACTGTTGGGAGTGCCAAACCTTTATCCATCGTCTTCTCCGTCGGTGGAGTATGTGTTGAAGGCGGAACATCCTCAATCCCCATCGCCGGAACTGAGTGCAAAGCTCAGAGATGAAGTGTCCTCGTTCACCGCACCAATTGTGCGTACCGGATTCCGCACTAGATAAAAGTGGATCGGGGCTCCGCACTCGGTTGGACTATCCAGGGACTGAAGTTCCTGCGACAAAAGGCACCGTTAAAGCTACCCGGCCGGGGTTGGCCGGATGACCCCTCTGGTGTGGGAATTAGTGATCGGAGAAGGGAGTTGAGTATGGTTTAGCTTGGAATAGTTCAGTTCTATTCAGTTACCTTCAATGTGAAGTTCATGTAGTATATATATGTTGTTCCTTGCTTGCTTCTCAAGGTGGATTCATGGAGCTTGGATGCTGCCAGGTGTCCTTTTGGCATTGCTCATGGTAGGGGACCACCTGTTAGTTGCCAATAAATGCATATAATCATTGTAGTCATGCTGATAACAAACCACATTTCTTTGGCTCAACAACTTCCGTGATTCTAGGTGTAGGGGACCAGCTGAGGTGGCAACCTGCATATGCACACGTTCACAGCTTCCACGTTTCCTTGCGAGGTTTTCTCAGCTCGGTACTGATGTTCCTTAGCTCGGCATCATTATGCCTTGTCTCGACCTTCTATAGGATCACTCATGAAGATGGGCTTGTCCATTCAGGTAACTTTGCATGGGCTCGGCCTATTTTCTGTTCGGCCCGTAGATTCAGTCTCGCAGCTCGGCCCAGCCCAGCACCACGGCTGGACTGGCCTTTCCGCTGCGAGTTGGACCCAAGTGCTTGAGGACTTGGGTGGACTATTGGTCATGAAGTTAGGCTTAATTGGTTGGCCCAAATACTCATCCAACCCACTTGGATTTGGACTTCAGTGGATTGGGCCACCCTAAGGTTTGGACCTCACCCATTTCACGTTTAACCCCTTCAAAAATTATATAAATATATCCTTTTTAGAATTGATCTAAAGGGAATTTGTTGAGGACGAAAGTAATATATTTTATAATTGAAAGTATCAAAATATATAAATTTATAGATAAAAAAGATAAAATAATAGTTGAAGGGGGGTAAATATAGCCTAACATAAAAGCATAAACATGATAACTTGATAAGGACCCACAAGAAAAATAGTAGGAATATTTAGGTAGCGTTTGGTAACGTTTATATTTTTTTGTTTATATTTATAAAAATTTTATAAATTGGTTTTTTTAACTTTTAGAAAAATATAAACTATAAATGCGTTTGGTTTGAACAAAATATTTAAATTTTTTTAAAAACATACACTAAAAAATATGTTTATTCAGGCCTAAAATATTTATATTTATTTTTTAATATTTATGACAATGAAATCATACATATTATAATTGAAAAAAAAAATTAATTAGAAAAAAAATTATTTGAAAAAAAATTGTTTGAAAAAAAATAATTGAAAAAAGAATTATTTGAAAAAAAATGAATTGAAAAAAAAATTTTAGTCAAATTTTTAATTTCTGTTTAAAAATCAATGTAAACTTATTTTTTAAATTTACATTTTTTTTTCAAATTTATAAACTGAGACAATCATTTATAAGCTAAAAAAAATTATCAAATCAATTTTTATGACAATAATTTAATTTTTTATAAATATAAATTAGAAATTGAAAAAGAAATAATTACCAACCAGGGCCTAACAACTCACTATTTTTTTTTTTTTTTTTTTTTTTTGTTACGTCAAAAAGGAAAAAGCAAACCAAACAGCATGGAAACACAGAATAAGATAAGGCAGAAAGAATCCTAGATGGGTTGAAAAGTAAAGGACATATTACAAATACTTCTTTTGAGATTTAGTTAAATTATAAATATTTTTTTGAGATTTCAAAAATTACATTGTCTCTTGAGATTTATATTTTCATAATAATTTGCTCCTTGAAGTTTATATTTCATAACAAATTACTCTCTAATTTGTTATACAAATATAACATTCAAGAAAAAATTTATAATTTCTCAAACTTTAAAAAAATATCTATGATTTAATCAAATCTCAAGAGATATATGTAATTTGTCCAAAAATAAACCCAGAACGAGGAAACACAGAACAGAACAACAGCAAGGAAACACGCTACTGGTTTGTTGAAAGGTAAACCAACTTTAAAGAGGTGGGTGGAGACAGTGGTAACTTTGAATTCACGTTACCAAATTTTAAAAACAAAACACAAGCTTTAGCACGAGGACCCACAAGAAAAATAGTGGGAATATTTAGGAACACACTACTAGTTTGTTGAAAAGTGAACCAACGTTAAATAGGTGGTTGGGGACAGTGATAACTTTGAATTCACTCAACTTACCAAATTTTAAAAACAAAACACCAGCTTTAGCACGAGGACCCATGAGAAAAATAGTGGGAATATTTAGGTCTCGTTTGGAAAGTGACTATTTTAGTAGGTTATTTTAATTTTTGACTATTTTAATAGGTTAAAATTTTTATATTTGGGAAGATGATTGGATTTTTTTGTGATTGGATATGATGTTTGTGAGAGAAAAAGTAAAATGATTATGAGTTTGATGTGATATTTTGTCTTATTAATTATTTTAATCTATTTTATCTTTTTGTGATTTTTAACTTAAATTAGACTATTTTTTTTCTTCCCAAACACCCCTTTATACTAGAAGTGTGTTGAAAAGCGAACCAACTTTAAAGAGGTGGGTGGGAACAGTGATAACTTTGAATTCAAGTGATTAGCTCAGGGCCCACCAAATTTTAAAAACAAAACGCAAGGATTAGCTCAGGGCCCACCAATGAGAGAGGCGCGAAAGGCACGTCTATCTATAAATGCGCCTTGGCAGGTGGAGTGATTATATTATTTGATTGGTTTGACGAACGAGAAATTACTGGGTGTTTTAAAATAATGATTATTTGAACGGATCAAATAAAAATATGCGGACACTGTTTGATAGAGTTGTGGGAAAGTACTTATATCTTATACTTAAACAACTTATAACTTATAACTATGAATATAAATTGATTTTTGACTTATAAATTAAGTATCTTCTGTCCTACTCAAAAAATAAACTGATTTCTAACTTCCAAAAAGTTATAAGCTATAGGCTAAATCAAACACATCAAAATAACTTAAATTAAACTGAAAGCTGAAATAAGCAGTTTTTAAACTGCACCAAATAGGGCCATTGTAATTTATTAGATTATTAATTTTGAAATACATAGGGTATGTTTGGTTTGTATTTGTAAAGTAATTTTTTAGATAAAAAATATGAAAATTTATTTAGTTTGCCTTTTTTTAGAAATAGTTTTAGAAAATTATTTTAGAGAGAGAGTTTTAAAAAAAGTGATTGATTTGACATGTATAAGAGAGAGTGATTTTGAAAAAGTAGATAACTAAACAAAATTTTAAGATTTTTTTTGAAAATTTTTTGTTTGGTTTGATTATTCTTGAAAATTTATTTGTAGAAAATTTTTCTTAAATTTTTTTTAAAAAACAAACCAAACAAGGCCCTAGTTCATGAACTATTTAGTTATAAAGGGTTGTATCCTATGGGTTCATTTGGGGTAATTTTATTTCTACCTACAAATTCTCCTAAATTCACACACTTAATGAAATTATTCTTTAATACAATCTTGTTTTAGAATAAAGTTACTATAATACCCTTATCTTCTTCTCTTCAAATTCTAATTTAAAATATCACAATCATCTTCTATCGCCAACTCTACTTCTCTCCTACGTCATCCTCTCTCATCACTTCTTTTCCCTTCTGTCTACCACAACCTTCCGCTAGAACTATATATACTCTTACACATAATCCCCGCTGCAAACCATCTCATTTTTAAAGATTGACTATAAAAGCCTAGTATAGAGAGGAATATGTTGGGAGTGGCAGCGGTGATGATGATAATGGCGATGGAAGACTAAGAGTAGCGGCAAAGAAGGTGTAGAAGGCATGAGTGAATGGAAGAAAATTAATGTCAACGTTGGCAAGTTGAAAAAAAGTCAAAAAGTCAAAAAGTTACTCAAAAAGTTAAAAAGTTGTCACTATTCACCAAAAGTCAAAAATTACGGCTGCACAACTCCCAATCTTAATTTTCCCCTGCACACTAATTTATACAATTTTTTAATACACATTTTTCTATAAAAAGTCAAAAAGTTAACCCAAACATCCATATTTTTTTCCTCAATTTTTTAGTCCAAAAAGACAAAAAGTGCACTTATTTAGGACACCCCAAACAAACCCTAAGACTGTGTTTGGCTTGTAATTCAAATCATGATTCCAAACCTGTTAGGAACCCTCTATTTGCTTACAGTTTTCAAATCATGATTCCAAATCAATTTCAAAACACATTTTGAAAACATGTTTGGTAAATCATAGAGTTTTTGAATTTTTGGTCTACCTGGTTGTCCGTCCGGACATCCAGCGGA